ACTCGTCTTTAGTTGTGTTGCCTCTGCCTGCGACAGGGTTCCGAAGCTTCGTGATCCTGCGCGCATGCAGAGCTCTGTATCAGAAGGGTCGGGGTCCGCGGTGGTACCGCTTGAAGCGGAAAAGGACAGCTCCATAAGCAGGTTCTGCAGGCATGGTGCAATCATATTTCGACACCCCACACCAGATTTGAGAATGGACTGCAAAGAGACGAGAAGGACGGCCACGATGCGTCTCTTGCCAGTGGACCAACAAGACACATTTTCGGGTACCAGCATGTGATAGTAAAGAAGAGTTTGAGAGCCAGCAGGCATGCATCGCGCAGTGCATTTCGGACGAAGTGCCGCAGAATTAGCGCTGTGCTGCCGTCTGCGTATCTGTCGGCACAGCCAGCCACAGCCTCGCCCTACACGCGTGCATCGCACGCCGGCAAGTGGACGACAAAGACAAGGCAGGCTTGCAAAATCTTGCGAAGGATGAAAGCACTGTTTGAGCGCTTGCCCGGACAAGGAGAAGGGCCAACCCCCGTACCGGCTCATCACTACTTGGGTGTCAGGGACCTAAATGACCGAAGTCTCAGCCACCAACGGCATGATAGAAACAGGCGTGGAGCTCCACAGGTGGATGCCGGACCCCCCGCGCCCTGCCGAGAACGCGGGCAAAGGAGTACGTCCACAACTTGATCAGGCTCCTGTACCGCAAGTCCTTGCGGGTCCCTGCGAAGTCGTGCAAAGACAGACGTGATTTCTTCCCTTGCGCAGAGGCGCAGAGCAGCCTCACCGCGAAGCCCGACGCGGCAGTGAGCCGGTGGCGGCCCCAGGGTGGGCTTCAGTCTTCAGTGCTTGAGCACAGGGGAAGGCACTCGCAGCGCGCAGCCCAAGGACCATGAGCATCCCACAAGAGATGGCAAGGTGGAAGGGGAAGGCAGTGCGGGGTGCCGGCCTTTTCGGCCTCCACTGCTCGGGTGGAGCCTCAAGAAGCCGATCCGCTTCCCGCCGGTTGAAGCCGGAAGTTGAACTTCAAGAGGACACGTGGCTTCTCGACGCTTTGCGCGAGCCCAGGAAATACGAAGCCCTTGCACGCCATTCCTTTCTTTTCGGTTGTTGCAGGTTTTTTTGTGGCCCGATCGTTGATTTAAAGGCCACGGGGGTTTGGGGTCTGGGGCTTGGGCAAGGGAGCAGGTAGCCAGATCCAAGATAAGAGCAGTTACACGACCTCAGCCAGAAAGGAAAGGAGTCTTGCGATGAGCCTGGGCAAAGGACGGACGTTTTGTGATGATGAGTCCACGCTCGACTTCTGCCATCGGCCTTTCTGTCACAGAGATGAGAACGGCCGTTTGTCGCGATCTGGCTGGCTCTAAAGTCCTGTGGGATGGGACGTTGGATGCAACTGTGGAAGTGTGTAAGAGGCGTCTTCGACTAACCCCCCTCTGCTTCTTCAGAGTTAACCCTAAACCCTAAACCCCCCTCTGCTTCTTCAGAGTTAGTTGAAGTATTTCTGAGTTGTCTTCCTTGGATCCCCAAGGGTCGGAGTATACATTCCCACTTGACACCAGCGGGAAGCCAGAGGGTCTGGATTATGACAGCACCTGGGACGCCATATCAAGGCGAATCTTTGCAGACTCGGGACACTTGCAGCTTCTGCGCCGAGAAGCCACCCGGGGGTTGGGGACCCTAATATGGTACCCCAAATCATAGGATCCTTCTTATAAGGACTCCCAAATAAGGTACCCCCTATTTCGGAAACCCCCACCTGTGCCCCGTGCCCTTGCTCCGGAAGATGGGTGGAGGCCCTTGAGGTGCAGGTCCAGGCTTCTGCAGCCCAGTGCGAAGGCCCTCCCTTCTGCTGCCTTGGATGGTGCGCTGCTGCATTGGCCCTCGTCCCCTCTGTCTCTGTTGCTTCATGAGCCTTTGCAAGCATGGTGTTCCGTTTAAGGCAAACTCGGTAGCCGCTTGGCGCAACCTGAGCAGCACGGTGGCCGACGGTTGAGCTCAGGCAAGAGTTGAGTCACCATGTGTCTCGAACTCCATGAGGTGTGGTGTCTGGAACATAGGCCTGATCTGATGTGTTGTAAATGCGCGAGGCCAAAAGCAGGGCCTGATCATGCAGTGTCATGTTCAGTTCGACTTGGATCCCTGCATGATTCCCTAAACCCTGAACCCTCAACCTGAAACCCAAACCCCTGAACCCTCAGCGGATTGTCTACTTTGGGCTCCAGTTCTCGCACAAGCGACGGGCACAAAGCAGGCCCCAGTTGCTTCGGAGGTGGGAGGAGAATGTGTGTATACATATATACACATACATATATGTTACTTCTCTGTATGTATGTATGTATGTATGTATGTATGTATATATATATATATACAAAGAGGGATGTAGATACTTGCACATTTGTGTATATATGCACATACATATGTTTATATTTTTCCTGTATATTCATTTTAGATTGTATACATATATATATATACACACATAGATAGATGCCACATGCATTTATCATATTGCTCAGGATACAGGGTTGGGGCTTAGATGTTCAGCTGGTTCTCGGTTCTGAATTAACTCACTAGCCAGGAATGTATTTTGGGTTTGGGGTAAGGGTTGGGGTTTGGGGGATTGGAATCGTTTTGACCTGAGGTTTTCAGTCGGGTGTCAGCTAGAGCGACGGTTGAGTTGTAGATTTCATGGTTTAAACCAAGGACTGCGTGTGCCTGCGCGCATGTGTGTAGTGGATAGGTACGTATCTATCTATCTATTTATCTATCTATCTATTTATCTATCTATTTATCTATCTATTTATCTATCTATTTATCTATCTATCTATCTATCTATCTATCTATATTTACACATTCTTACATGTAGCTTTATAGTAACTCTACATAGTATATGTCCGTCTATCTTCCTCTCTCTCTCTGTCTGTGTGTGTGTCCTCGTGTATGCGGATAGCCATCTGAAGTCTATATTATAATATGGAGATGGACGGAAACTCAAGTGCAGACGGAAGGTATCAAAATCTCTCGCATGCTACGTGGTAGCGTTGCCGGCACCAGGGCATACAGGCATTCAGTTACGGTCTGTTTGTGCAGGAGCAGTGCAAGACAGTGCAAGAGCTTGGTGCTGAACTTTACATGGCCGCAAATTGCAGCAAACGCAACAACTACCGTGAGCAAGTAAAACCAGCGGACCACCCTTGCTGGCATCAGCTTTCATTCGCTGCGTATTTCCTCGTGAAGATCTAGAGTACCTCGCAAGCCTTCGCTTCCTGCAGCTTAGTTCATTGTCCCTTGCCGCATGGCAGCGTTCATGTAGCGACCGTCAGTGCCTTAGTGAGGGGCTGAGTTTAAAGTTGAGGGGGCAGGGTTACCTCCCAAAACCCTGAATCTCATATGTCATACTAACTTGGAGTCTCCTGTTTATGTTGTTTTAGTGCTGCTTGCGCCTGTTGTCTTTCAGAAGCTTCTTGTTGCCACTGTTCTGGATCTCGCAAAGCCAGCGCAGGTTGGCAAAACTTGCTTCTGCTACGGTGCCTCTGTGTATGTGTGTGCGCTGTGGAGCCTTTGGATAGGCAATCGTCTCAGCTCTTTTCACTTTTCTTCTTCACCTGGGAGGTTTCGGGAATGTTCGTACGGCTCTGATAGCTATCGTCACGTTTATTGCTGTTGACATCCGAGGTATGGGGGCCGACAGCAAGCTGAGTGCAGAGGTTGGAGGGGGATCTTGGAGATGGTGGTAGACATTACAAATCCAATACATAATGAACTGTGACGAAACTATAATACCCTAAGCCCTAAACCCTATTGTATCATATTATACCATACTATACTAGTGGCGGTGGAAGTGCCCTCCTCAAGCGCTGCCTTTGCGAGTGCTGTGTTTTGGGTGGTGGTGCTGCTGCAGTGCTGCCGAGGGTTTAGGGTTTAGGACAACTTGCGTATGATTTGATTCGATGATGGGGGCTGGGCATTACATGTGGCATCCGTGACCCTAAACCCTAAACCCTAAACCCTAAACCCTAAACATCGAGAGAGCAGGGTCTGCAGCCAACGCACCATGGCGATTCATTCAGGCAAGGCTTCGCTACTCCTGTCGCCTGTTACTGCCCTGCGTTCCACAGCGGGTTTGATATTGCGTGCCGGCCGGGGGTGGGGATTTTGCGTCTGTGCTGACGTTCGAGATGTGTTCTCGCAACTACTATGGTACATTTTGTCGATGTGCTTGATTCGCACGGTCCGGCATGTTGTGACAGTATCCGACACGCGGCTAGGCCTGAGTGGCTGGACTCCTTCAGGGAGTCTTCGAACCATGCACGGCGCAGGCTTCAACGCTTTCGGGGTCGAGAGGGTGTAGGGTACAGAGGAGCAGTCTCAACTCAGTGCCGGTTGCAGAGTTAACATCAAGCTGAAATAGAGCAGGCACTGCTGGCAGGACCTCGTGACAAAACCCCCAGCCGACCTGCGTGGTGGGTCAGCATGTGTGGGCATTGTACGGCAGTGCAGTCATAGTTTTGTCTGTCTTGTTGCTCTTACCGTATCAACATTGTCATGGCATCTTGTTGGAAGCCGTAATAAAAGCAGGATGAATTTGATCACCAGCGCCAAGTTTGGTTGATCACGTTCTGGGCCTCAAACCTGATTCCGAGAGATTTTTCATCTATGGTCCAACATGCCCTGCATGCCGTTTAGGCCCCCAAGGTACTGACACAGTGCACACATGACAGACATCCCACTCGTCCGGTTCCCGAGCTCGTTACACGTGGCGGAAGGACTGACTTTGGGTGTAGGGCTTAGGGTTTGGAGGCGAGAATTTACGGTGTACGGCAGGCACTAAAGCAGGCGGGTCCAAGACTTCGCCTTCGAAATTCGCGGGGGGCTTCGGAGTTTAGGAGAGCATAAAACCGTAAACCCTAAACCCTAAACCCTAAACCCTAAACCTAAAACCCTAAACCTTAAAAGACGAAGGACCAATGCGAACCCGTTCCGGCCTGGACTTTCGGGAGGAATTTCCTATGTACACCTTGCCTCTCTCCGCATTCCTCGAGCTCGTCGAGCTTTCTGCGCACGAGGACATGATGAAAGCGAAGTGTCTCACTGTCTTCGACGAGAGCATGGGAAGGGCAATGTTTATTTCACACCAGTGGCTGGCGAATCGACATCCTGATCCCAACGGCGAGCAACTTCAGGTTTTGCAAGAGGCTCTGCGAAATCTTATTGCTGGGGTGGCCCAAGTGAGCCAACCGGTTCAGTCAGAGCTATTTCACGGTCGTATGCCATGTCCAACAGCATCGGAGCTCAAATCCACGCCTCTCTACGTCTGGTACGATTTCTTGTGCTGCCCGCAAGATGCATCTGAACGCGCAAGTCGTCATCGTCAGCGTGCGATTGGCAGCATACCTTCATATGTTGCGAAGTGCAAATACTTCGTAGTTCTCTGCCCCGCGCTGGCGCATGCAGACCACAGAGTGACTCTCTCATATGAGACGTGGGCCGGAAGAGGCTGGTCGGGGGTTTAGGGTTTAGGGTTTAGGGTTTAGGGTTTTGAAAAATGAGATTGCGAAGTGTCTCGCAAACTGCCGGAAGGGGGGCAAAAGTAAGTCTGGTACTGCTGTTATTCGGCAGCCGAGACCCTAAACCCCAAACCCTAAACCCTAAACCCTAAACCCTAAACCCTAAACCCCAAACCCAAACTAAAACCGATGCACCCTCAGGCTGGTGCCGAGCCGAGAAGATGGCTGTGGACCTTGCCGCCAGGAATGACAGCTGCACCATGTTTAGGGTTTAGGGTTTAGGGTTTCGGGGTTTAGGGTTTAGGGCTTAGGGGTTTAGGGGTTTAGGGGTTTAGGGGTTTAGGGGTTAGGGGTTTAGGGTTTAGGGTTTCGGGTTCAGGAATGACAGCTGCGCCATCATCATCGAGAGCCAGACCCATGCGAAGTTGCACTTTCAGCTTCTTAGGTCTCCTCCTGCGATGGGAACGTTTTCCGTGGAGTCCGACAGGACGAGGATCGGGCAGATGCTCGTTCACATGGTGTGGAACAAGCTGCTCTACTACCGGGAGGCAGGCGACATGCACAACTACAGGCTTCTCTTGAACGAGCAGAAGTCACGCTGGTTCCAGGGTCTCAGCATGGACCCGATTGACGGTTTGGTCGAAGGTTTCGTGACAGATGCCGACCCCTTCGATCAGCCAGGGGAGTTTGAGCTGGCACGGTTCCTGCACCAGAACGGCTTCCGAAGTCCGCTAGAGAGGGACTCGGCTGGCTGGTCTCCGATTTGCTTTGCTGTTGTGAAGGGCAGTGCGAATTTGGTGCAATCCTTGCTTGCTCGCCGAGCTGATCCCAACGATGCCATCACCAAGGCCAAGAAGGAGCTGGCGATGCCCAAACGCTTCTCGCTGCTTTCTCTGGCGGTGGTGTACCACAATCAGGATGTCCTGATGACGCTTCTATCGGCAAGGGCTTACGTTCATGCGAGGGACGCACGACAGGCCACTGCTATCATGTGGGCAGCAGTGGCCAACGATGCAAGCGGCATCCGGTGCTTGTGCCAGGCAAGGGCCGATCCTTCTGACTCTTGCAATCCTGGTATCAGCACACTTCAGGCGGCCTGCTCATTCGCGTCTCTGGATTCCATGGCGGAGCTGAGATCACAGGCTCCTTCCTTAAGCCTGAGGTTTTGCCTACACTATGCTCTCATGTTTCAGGGCGGCTTCTCCGAGCCCATCAGTTTTCTGATACAGGCGAGGGCAGACGTGAATGAGAGGTTCGAAGCGGAGGGGAAGCTGTGGTGGTTGATAATGAAGCTCGAAAGCATCCGGCACAAGTTCAACCCCTCTCGCTTGACCCTTTTGTCACATCACCACGCTGGCGCAACACCACTGATGTTTAGCATCCTCAGTGGCTGCTTTGGCGTGGTTCCTCTCTTGCTTGCTGCAGGAGCTTAGGGACCCAAAGAGGACATAAGCATAAGCACGTTACAAGGATATCCCTACCTCCTTGGGCTTCATAATAAGGGGGGTTTATATGGGATATCCCCATGGTTTTGGGACGCCAGGAGCCAGGCTGGATGTTCGAAACTCCCGGAAGCAGACCGCAAGCGATCTCGCCCTGGCCGTCCGAGCTCCCAGTGCCCTGCTCCAGCAGTTGCAGCAGGCCCCGAGTACTTTCGAGGATCCTGGCTCGCCCGCGCCTGAGGATACCTTCTTCATCTAGAAGTTTTTTCAAGAAGATATGGGAGTTTCCGGAAATTAGGGTACCGTATTTTGGGGTCCTTATAATAGGGATCCAAAAATTTAGGGGTGCTATATTAGGGTCCCCTATTTTCGGAAACCCGCTGTAGGCATTATTCTCCTGCCACACTGTGCAGTAGTGTGCAAAGGTCAAGATTCCAGAGTGTAAGTACCTCCGTTTTTTGGTTAAATTTCGGCCGGACCCGCAAACGCGGATGCCGCCCCCAGGCCAGTGTGTAAATATACCACAATGGGCATGCTTGACCGGCTCTGGCGTCTTTCAGAACGGGCCCGCGAAACGGGTTGCCGCCCTCCTAGACTGGGCCTGAAAGAGTACCATAGGATGATGGGATGTAGTAGCCAGAGTTGTGCAGAAAGCATATGAGTCAGATAGATGTCCGTACTTGTAAACCCAATCCCTAAACCCTAAACCCTAAACCCTAAACCCTAAACCCTAAACCCTAAACCCTAAACCCTAAACCCTAAACCCTAAACCCTAAACCTTGTAACCTTACCTACAAAGTCCCCACACCCAAAACC